ACACACACACACACACACACACACACACACACACGTATTTTGGATAAGAGCTGAGCAAAATTATGCAAATATACAATGCATACAGGTGAGCATTGGAGCATAACACTGAGAATTAATGCAATTGCTAATGTAAATATTGAAATGGAGATGACGATGGTTGTTTAAAGTAAAACTGATAAGCAGAATCTTGCAATAAATCATTCAATGAGATAGTTAATTTACTTGTCTTTTTCATTTCATTTCATTTCAGAATTTTGCTATTTTTGTATGATAGAATGGAATTTTGCGGTAAACGCATTTTTCCAATATTCATTTTTCAAGCAAATGGATGGTGCAGAAGAGATTCTGCTATGTTTGACCGAATGATTCATCGTCATATCGTTTAATCATTTTATTTATTGTAGCAATTGTTAATAATTAATTTATCGTTGCAAATGTTGTTCGATACTCCTTAGAATAAAACTTAAATATAATACCAATCTCAAATTATATTAAGCGATTTTTTCATTGGTATTAATATCGTAGGAGAAATAACTGTTAAAATAAGAGATTTGCAGATTTCAAAATCGCAACTGTTGAAATTTTACACTTTAAAAGATGTTACTCTTAGGCAATAATAGAGTGGCACTTTGTTATAAATGGTTGTTGAATGCAGTGTAAATACTATCAAAAATTTAACTTACAATGGAAAATGTTTTAAAATGATAACAAAATTATGCTTAAAACATTATTTTCGAAATCAAACAATTTCGAACTCAAAATTACTCTTAATTGATCAGTTCGTTATTAAAGTTGGATTTTAATTTCTGCTTTTTAGAGGCTAAATTTCATTCCCTACCAATAATAACTCAACCAAACTATTCTCTTTAATTAAAAAGACAATTCGAAATTTGGCATCTTTTAAAAACTATTGCCGAGAAATTACCGTTCTATCTATTGCTACATAATTATTAATTAAAATATTCCGTTTATCAACATTTCTGACATGAACTTCATTTTAATTTTATTGAAGAAACCAATAGTAAAGGTTGTAATGAATGTCGTACTAAAAAAGTTATCATACAAAATGCATGGCGGGGAATAAAATCAAAGTCATTAGTTGAATTATCTCGGAAAAACCGAAGAATTAATCGATAACAGATGCCTATTGCTGAAATCGATAAATTGTTAATTTAACAATTCCCATATACCTGCTGATCAAATATGCCAGGCCTTTACGTAAATTGTTACTTCACTGATTGAATTCAGTTTTCATTTGAAGAGACTCAAAGATATGATCAGAATTTCAAGTTTCATCAATTTTTCGCGGATCAACATTATATAAAACAGTATGTGAGCGGGGAAGAAAGCTAAGGCTTTGGATAATTTTTAGCCATTTCCGCCTTCCCGCTGAGTGCGGGATTGAGGTGATAGAAGAGGATAATGGTAGGGACATAGTTGGTGTAGGTAAATTCTACTCTCGAATATTTTACTTGCTTTGCTTTATGAAGCCACCCGCTCCCTCTCCCAGCGGGAAGTCCGACTAAAAAATTTCCTTTCCTTTCCTCTGTTCCCCGTCCTGCATGAAATGAGAGCTCTCCGGCTGGCTATAAGGATGGGAGTGAATCGAATCAATGTAGATCCTTATTATTGCCTGCATACAGCAATATATATGATATCAGTCTATAACCTTTACACTCTGACCTCCACACCTTCATCCCTTTATTTCCCAACACTCTCATTCCTTTCCGTGCTATTTCTACATTCACCCGTTCTCCTCTGTTTCTCTCTATTTTTCACATTCCTCTTTTCTCTCGCTATAGTGTAAGATTGCAGTTTGATTGGTGTGTGACCCGGGGATCGGATGGGGATGTCTTAGTCAGGTCGGGTCATCCTGAAATCCATCCTTGCTATGAGTTTCAGCTTGTCATTATTGTGCTGCTGGCGCTTTCAGAAATTAGCGCTTTTGTGTTGTTTACTGTTGCTTATCATATTCACATATTTTAATCGCCATTTTCCGCCTGATGTATGGAATTTGTTTCGATATCATTCGTCGGTTCCTATTGATCCGGCATGGAAAGCATTTTCAGTAAATGAGATAAATCAGAGATTGCTTGAGGATTATTCGGCCTTAAAGAAGCTTAAAATGCAAATGCACTCTGTGCAACAGGAAGTTGCTCGATTGAAAAAGAATTCGCATCCGATTAAAATACTGCAAAAATCGAACGACAAAAAGTATGTGGGCGTAAAATATCAAAACGAAGCAAACCGGAAACGGATTCTTGTCACCGGTGGTGCGGGCTTCGTTGGCTCGCATTTGGTGGATCGTCTGATGCTTGATGGACATGAGGTCGTCGCACTCGATAATTATTTCACTGGTCGAAAACGAAATGTGGAACATTGGATTGGACATCCCAACTTCGAGCTTGTCCATCATGATGTGGTTAATTCATATCTCATTGAAGTAGACGAAATCTATCACCTTGCCTCCCCTGCATCGCCAACTCATTACATGTATAATCCTGTAAAAACTATCAAAACAAACACCATTGGTACCATAAATATGCTAGGCTTAGCCAGGAGATTGAAAGCACGTATATTATTAGCCTCAACATCTGAAATTTATGGTAATCCAGAAGTGCATCCACAACCGGAAAATTACTGGGGTCATGTGAATACAGTAGGACCACGATCGTGCTACGATGAAGGAAAAAGGGTCGCGGAGACATTAATGGTTGCCTATCATGTCCAAGAGAAAGTGGACATCAGAATTGCTCGAATATTCAATACGTTTGGACCTCGAATGCATATAAACGATGGTCGTGTTGTAAGTAATTTCATCCTGCAAGCTTTACGTGGTCATCCGATCACCATTTACGGTAATGGGAAACAGACACGTTCGTTCCAATATGTGGATGATTTGGTAACAGGACTAATCAGATTAATGGGAAGTAACTGCACAGATCCAGTTAATATAGGAAATCCTGAAGAGAAAACAATTAATGAATTAGCAGAATTGATCCGCGATTTAATAGGTAGTAATTCGAGCATTGTTTATGAACCTGAACAACAGGATGATCCACAGCAACGCAAACCTGATATCTCACGAGCTAATCAGAAATTGAATTGGAAGCCTTTAGTTTCAATGCATGATGGCTTACTTAAAACAATCAATTACTTTCGAGAGGAATTGGAGTATGATCGAATGATGCTCAAAGAAGATGAACTGGATGATAGATCGAAAACTTTTTTTGCAGCTTGAAAAAATTTATAACTTGACCAACGGTAGTGTCATTAATTCGCTGTTGCTGAAAATTTTAAAATAAGTTTCACAGCGTGACTCAAATCAGATAAATTTGCATTCCAAATTCGACGAGATTGATTTGTCTGAGATACATTATTTATAATCGGGAAAGTTTTTATCAAATTTAGTTATTATCTTATACCTCCTTAGTTATAGTGATCAACACTGATTACTTCAGTATCAAAGTAAAATACAACATGTTCTTCAGCACTCCGCCTGGAAACCGAATTATTCAGTAAAAGAGAACTGGATTTTAACTGTATTTATCGCTGATTAAATTTTTTTATATTTTCATTGAATTCATCAATTTGCTATTTGAATTCGCATGTATATGTTGAAAAAATTGGAAGTGTTAAATAAAAATTCGGAATTTGAGTTTTTCTAGTTATTAGGACTTTTTTTAAATCAATTTTATTAATTGTTTTTGTATGGAATTATTCACTTTGCATTGATTTAATTTTTAAAAAATGAAATCAGTGCGAAGCTGTTATAGATTGCCAGCAATTTCCACTGTTTTTCATGTTGTACAGTATTGTTCTATGAAGTAGTTGCGAAGTGAGTCTCTCTAATGATTGACTGTCTTGTTCACTGTTAGTTTATTTCTTAATTAGGAATTTTTTTTTTAATTTGCGTTGCTTTGAAAATCAATCCTCTCAAACTTGTTTGAACGAATTAGTCAGAACTGTTTTCATCTGACTGTAAAGGCAATTACTAAGGGATAATAAATGAGTTTTGAGTTTTGGGAGGATTCACAAAATGATTCACACAATTTAATTTAGAAACATTTTGATCAATATCGAGAGTTTTTGAAATGATGCAGTCTGCAACTTACATTAATAATAGCAAATGCCAGATGTCACGTATGTTGGATTTAAGCTTCCTACTATATGAATCACGATATGTAGTTACTAAATATACCTGTTACGACTTTATGCTTTCTTTATAGAGCTCAAATGTTTGTTTTTATAACGATTGCTTAAATTTGTTTATTTTTATCCTAAATGAAATTCTTTTATGGCTCATATCTGAAATAGACATGTGGAACGTGTAAAAAAAAAACGTTTTATTTTCCATCATTATTTAAAAATATTCAGCAACTAATTAATTTCAGAAAAGTGGCAGTTCAAAAAATTTAGAATTGCTGGTTTTCTTGTAGATAAATGGAACTATTTTGCTCAGGTATATTAGTGAGTTACGAGCAAACATGTCCTTGTTCTTTTCATGATCCTTTCTTGTTTTAATGGGGCTCAAATTTGTAGAGGACAAGAATCTTAGGATTAGTTCACTCTCGGTTAAGAATTTTCGAATGCTTTGAAGTTTCAGCACGAATTTCGACTGGTGCAAAACTTGTTTCGAAAAGATTGAAACAAAGAAAAACAGGTTAAAGGAAATTAAATTTTGGGATCAAATTGGAATAACAAAGTTAGTTGTCTTAATAAAATCATTGACTGTCTTCCTTATCCTTTACCTCCTTGTGAAAGGAATCTCATCCCTGTTAACTTTTATCTGATTGACTTATTCTTATAATTTTAAAGTTAATACTACATATAATAGAGTAAAACTAGCCTTTCGATTGCCGTTTTGGCTCATATTACTACTAACTACCAAATGCATGACTTTGAAATATGACGTGCAGCGATAATCTTTGTCCATACTGTTTTCTTACACTAACCAGTGTTATTATTGAAATGATTTAAATTAAGAATGACAATAAATAATTTTTTATATGGCTGGATATCATCAGCGGGCTATCAGTGAATATCTTTTTCCTCTCGTTTTGCTCAGTAATGTTCCATTCGAGCAGTCCTCTGTTGCACAGTGAAACGGAAGGCGAAATCATTTAACTCAAAGTGAAATTAAGATATCACTGTATGATATCGAAAGTTTCCTCTAACTTATTCATATTGATAACCTTGACATTGATACTGATGTCTAGAAGTATCGCGTTTCTTTTATTCTTCAAGGTCACCACTGTCATTCTCTCCCCTATCATGTGAATATTCATCCAGGAATTTTGATCGATTCGTTTTCAGTTAGATCTCTATGTATTCATATTTCTTTTATATATCTATTTTTTAATTAAATTTGTTGACTTTCTATGATAAATTTGTTTTTTTTTCACTTGTATTTTGATTGACCTCCCAAGATTGTGATTCTGCTATTTCTCCTGTTTCCGTCCCTCTCCACTCCGAGCAGTGAATGAATCTAATCTCATTACCTGATATTCTCATTTAAAATTTTTAGAAACTCCGCATTAGCATCATCATCCGATACAAGGTTAGGTCTTAGAGTAAGTGAAGTCTATTTCGTTTCTTGATTTCAGGTAGGTGGTTTGAGGGGGATCCCTAGTGTTACTTTCTGTTTTAGTATGCTAATTGGAAATAACAGCAGTTGAAAGGGGCGAAAAAAGCATAACTTTAATAATTGAATTTTATGGTTATTTATTTTTCAAAAATTGAGCTTCAATGGTTTTTAATGATGTTTAATAATCATTCTACAGGTCAAACTTAATTAGCTTCTAATGAAACCTGTATAACGATTGATGTTGAGGAAATCCTTGTTAAATTTGATTCTAAATGAAAGTCAGATTTTCCGATTGGAATGAATAAGAATTTTGTTTCCTTTTTAGGAAATATTCCGTACCATTTATACGGTGCTTTATGACATGGACATTTCCTGATGCTAACACTTATTCGTGTTACTGGTTGTGGCATAAATCGCTGTGGAACGCTGGCAATATTACGCAAAAGTGTGCCATCGAAACAGCCATGCCGATTATTCACGAAATGGACTAAGCGTTATGTAAAGTCCAAGAATGCAATGTATTATTTGGGAAGCGTTGGTGTGCTATTCTTCAGTTTTGCAGTACTTTCTGTACCAGCATATCGAGTGTTTTGCGAAAAGACTGCTACTATCGGATTAACGAAGGCAAAAATTTAACACTTGTAACTGTTTCAGTTTCTGGAAACTAATTTAGTCAAACGTGCCTTTATTAATCAATAATAACTATTTCCTGCAAACTGCGGATTTGAAACGATTATGTGCTTCGCAGGGCAATTTTCAAGTTATTGCAGAATTTGAATTTAATTATTCCTTAAACTTTCTGTAGGTTGCTGATGATATGGAACGCGTTGCATCAATGGAAAAAATCAAGGATCGATTGATACGCGTGTCTTTTAACGCTGACCTTCACTCTGCCTTGAAATGGCAGTTTAAACCATTGCAAAAAGAAATTTATGTGCACCCAGGAGAGACGGCACTTATTTTCTACAGTGCTTATAATCCGACGGACAAGCCGGTGGTTGGTATTAGCAGCTACAATGTCACACCTTTTCAGGTAATACTTTTAATTTCCGCACCTTTTCAAAAATTTGTTTTCAGAAGTTTTTCCATGCTTACTCATTTATTGTTATGCTTGTCAACTTTTGCTTTTTTCTAATTTGTAGGCGGCATATTATTTTAACAAAATTCAATGTTTCTGCTTCGAGGATCAGATCCTTAATCCGGGAGAACAGGTAGATTTGCCTGTTTTCTTCTATATCGATCCTGACTATACAAGTGATCCGGACTTGGAGTATACGGATAGTTTAGTATTGAGTTATACATTTTTCGAATCAAAACCAGGTACTTCTTTTGCTCTTTATTTCCAATTTGTTATTCATTTAATTTCTCATAAATCTCTAGGGTGCAACTATATATTAGGAGAAGAGCAAATCTTTTATTTGATCAACTTTTTTCTTCATTTGTTGATGCTATGCCAACGTTTAATTTCTTCAGCATGCCAACTCTCTCACTTTTTTAATACTTTATTCTGATTACGGAATCTTCTTAAACACAGCTGTCTTGCTAGCAGAGTATGAATCTGATGGATTCATAATTGTTTTTGCAGATCTTGCTTTACCAGATCCATTTGATCCAAGCAACCAACCCAGTATAAAGCGAAACGCAAGTAGTGTTAATAAAAAGGTGGAGAAAAACTAAAGATTAGAAAATAAATAAATTGTATGTTTATTTGTTCACCACATTTGTTTCATACATATTGTTTTATAGACTTAATGTTAACTTGGTTTATGAATACTGAAATAAATTTTGGAATGGAAATATTAATTGTGCTGCTTAAGTTCCAAATATTGTGCGAATTGGGATAAAGCTATTTGCTATCAGCAGAAAAATTGTTATTCTACCAAATTCATCAGTGCCATTTATCAGATTTTTGTACGAATTTTGTCCATCTCAATGGGACTATTTCATTAAAAATACTACTGACACCTATCACAAAAAGAAGAGAATGAGTATCAAAAGTTACTGTTTTCTCTTGTTCATCATTATGATGAATCTTCGTCAAAGGTGTTACTTTCCAAAGATGCAAATTTGTTGTAAACTACCATTTAGAAAGTTAGATGTGATTTAATTTATCCTTATAATTTGTTTGCTAAAATTCTAAAAGAACTCCCACCCATTTATTACATTTTCCGATTTTTTCACTTCGTTGATTGTGTTGGGATATTGCAATGATCACTTTCATTCTGCAGGCTTCTTGTTTTATAAATGTGTCAGCCACAGAATGTAGATGATAGAGAATTCTAATTCAGCAACAAAACAAGTGGGACTAATTTCTCTATTTTGAGGGGAAATTAAAAAAGAACGAGAGAGCGAGAGAGAGAGAAAGAAGAAGTAAAAATCTTTTCTGAACATTTTTTTTAACTGACCGCGAAGAGTGTGTTATATGTTTGTTGTTGTCTTGTACGCGAAGTTTTATGCTTACTTAATTATGAAAACTGACAACTTTTCTGCGAAATATTCAACAGTGTTTTTTCAAATTATTTTTTTCTAAATTTTTAATCAATTTCAATTATGAATTATCTGTTTTTCCAAAATTTCTCAAGTAATTGCAGTATGAGACAGTCACTAATCATTTCAATTTCTAAGGAAAAACACAAATTGATTTGTAACATCCATATGCTCATTTTTTCAACATTTTTACATTCAATGTTCCATCTGAGAATTTCCATCTGTTGTACGATAGAAAATATCCTAATTTTATTTAATATTCTTATAAAATTGAAGTTGATACTTATAGCGATGATTGAATAATTCAAATATACTAGCGATAGTCTAAGGTACCCATAATTTAGCCTGGGATTAGATGAAACGGAAATATATGATATTCGACAGGGAAATTTTTTTTTAAAATCTACGTTACTTTTTGCACATTTCTGAACAGAAAATTTTTCATCTTTC